GAGAAATCATCAAACAAAATCGAAAATCTAAATTATAAATCAAATGGACGATATTAAATACATTATTAAACCTGTAAAAACGTCTGTATACAAAATTGTGATCAAAACAAAACTTACATGACTAAGTAGGAACAGTTCCCACTTAAGTAACACAGATACGGGGGAGACTTAAGGCAAGTAGCTACGGGATTAAGGAACTTTTAGTAGGAACAGTTCCCACTTAAGTAACACAGATATGGGGAGACTTAAGGCAAGTAGCTACGGAATTAAGGAACTTTTAGTAGGATGCCACTCAAGTAACACAGGTACGGAGGAGACTTTAGGCAAGTAGCTGCGGGATTAAGGAACTTTTAATGTTACCGATGAGAGAGTTGAACAGAGACGCATAATTAGGGCCGTAGAGAGACAACCTAACCTAACTTAACCAATGTATAGTACTGTAGAGTCCCCTTCAGTAGTGTGTTTACAGGAGCTCGCCAGGTTATATGTACAGACCCCTTCACTAGTACTACACTACAACACAACACACTACACTATACTGTGCGCCCTCAGCAACATAGAGCATTGGGTGTCCACATAGTGTTTTTTTGCATGTCTGTAGGTATGTGTACCCAAAAACAGCAGTCAGTCTATTGATATGTATGTATGTATGTATGTATGAAATCAACGAAATTAAAGCCATTTATCTTAAAATTATCTAAATTCTTCATCTTTCTGCCAATATGTATGTAGAATAAAGTTACTATTCATGCTAAGTAAAGGAGAGAAAGATAGACAGACAACAGACAGACAGAGACACACACCACAAGCAAACATAAAAAGTAAATACAGTATAATAGATTAACTCAAGTGTCTACTGCAGTGCTCTAGTTGATCCAATCTCCAAGGAAAATCTTACTGAAAACATTGTATATAGAAGTTGCCACCTACCTACGCCACCTACCTACGCCACCTACCTATGCCACCTGCCTATGCCACCTGCCTTTGCCACCTACCTATGCCACCTACCTATGCCACCTGCCTTTGCCACCTACCTCTCTTCAAACAAGTTACAAATTTTCACTTTTCTGTTAGTATTTAATATGTCCCTGAGAATTTGTTATTTATTTTTCTAGAGATCCAAATATTATTCGATGTACAGTAAATTCTTGTCATTCGCAGGGTTTAGGTTCCCAGGAATGGCGTCAAAAGGCAAAAAACGTGAATAGAAAGTTATACTACCTTAGTGAACTACTGTATACCTATACCAAACAACTGACCAGCCAGGGCAGCAGCAGGACTCACCCACCTCTTTTAACTTATCTAATAATACAACTTTCTTTGTCAGGGTCATCACTGACTTGTGCCTTTTACATTTCACTCCACTAGCATCACTAGCACTGACAACAGTCTTTTAGGAGCCAGTTTCACACAGAAACACTAAAGTTTTGAGAATACAACACCAGATGCTGTGTGGGGGTGACTCATTGTACTGTGGTAAAAGGCTCACAAGCTAGCCACCATCTGTTTACTGCAAAGGGTCTACTGTATTGTGAAATATGGGGTTTTACTTTACTTACTCGCTGATAAAAGATTAAAAACCAACCTTGCCGACTTTTCAAGACTACAATAAGCATCAGTAGAGCAGTTTCCATCTTGCTCTTACACTCAAACCAATATAAACACATTAGTCAACAGAACGAGGTGTAAATTACATAAACTAATCGAGTAGACTTTTCACAAATACAATACCCATCATTTGAGAGAGCGTGGATACCATCAAGTGGCAGCCAAGACAAAGAACTCCTCTTGTCTTTACACACACAAGATTCTAAGTTCTTTTTCCCTTATGGCTAATTATGAGGGAACAACAATTCATGCAAATAAAGGCTATATAAAGCAACTGAAAGATACATTGTGTTATAGTTGTATCCATAAAGGCTATATGAAGCAAGTGACTGTTTGTTGCTTCCATGTACAAGTATATATGAACAAATAAAAGCTATGTGAAGCAATTGATTGATTGTTGCTTCCATGTACAAGTATATATGTTTTTTTTTTTATATATACTGTACTGTACTGTATATATATACTTACATATACAGTCCAGTATATATAAAAACAAACCTTCTATACAGTAATCATAAACAGAGATATAACAATCACTTCACATTTTATTCACCAATTAAATGTTGACCAAAGAACACATTAATTATCTCAGCACAGTCTATAATCATCTGAGCACAGTCTATAATCACAGTATAATTATATGATGCACCATTATAGCTTTTGATTATAGCTTTTGATTATTATAGCTTCACTTTGTTTTGTTTGGCTATGTAAGTTCATCATAAGTTATAGTGTCTTGGTATATCTGCGCCCTGGTATAGTGGACCCAGTGTAGTGGCCATGGTATAGTGGCCCTGGTATAATGGTCCTGGTTTAGTGGCCCTGGTATAGTGGCCATAGTATAGTGTCCTTGGTATAGTTGTACTGCGCATATCATTGTCATTCCTAAAAAAACCCATTAATTCATATTACGCTACATAACATTCAAAGCCACCGTGCTTGTAGAATCTCAGAGAACGGGAAACATTGATAAAGGATAACTCAATGTTACTGAATCATGTGTTGTATTGTACCCAGGTACGGTTATATAATATTAATTGTATGTATTCATAGCATTAAGGAGAACTCAAGGTATCTATAAGATGATTGGGGAAGTCCAGTTGAGCCGGACTAGTGTACTGTAGGACTAAGTGTGGATTGTGGTTTGAAGGTCATACTATTTACGTCTGTGAACGTGTAGCGAACATAACTTCCGCAGATATCATATGAAAATACATGAGAACAATGGTCTGGAAAAAGGATAAATGTATCAGAACTATGAGAGGTGTTGGAAGTGACCCAGAAACTATACTTGAAAGGAAATATCTTGTATGCATCGGTGTGAACTTAATACACCTCGTATCCTCGGGTGACGTATACCCACGACATGTACAGTGATCAGAGAACCTTATGTCTGTGTTCAAGTAGTGCAATGTGTGAGGGGAGGATCCCTAATTACAATTTTAAGTGAAGTGGATACCCACGCTCTGAACATACGGCTTTTGCTTCAGGGCAGCGTCCCTTGTACCCGGCCTACAGGTGTGAGTTGTTCATATAGCCCACTTAATTTCCCCAAGAACTGTCAAGTCCGAACCGTATTCTAGTATGTAAATTAGGATTAAAATATGGATTTATAAGACACCAGGTCACGATAAACGGGAAAATGGAGATGTGAGAACCATAAGAAATCAAAGTAAAAATTAAAGATTGGAAACTGTAGGCCTACGCGGTTAGGAGCGGCGGGGCACTGCCCTCAGTATCCTGCGTTCTCCCATCACCTCAGGTCAGTGTCCTCTATCGGGCTACATCCCGCCCTAAAAAAGGCTTATATAGCAGTTACTACAGTTTAAAACCTTGCTTGATGCATAAAGTGAAATAAGGATGTGTTGGGGTGGGTGATAACGGCCCATCAGGCATTATTTCTGAGTATCCTGCGTTCTCCCATCACCTCGGGTCCCACGCGGTCGGAGCACCTTGCTGGGCGTCGGCCATTATCCCTGTGACCGTCCCACCATGTGAGATGATGACTACCAGCTATGCTATTCCACTGTGAACCTGTGGATTCCCAGCATACCACCCCAAATGAGTAGGAATAAATAAGGAAATGTTGAGAAACTCTGTGGTCGTCACTTGGAGCGACCTATAATACCAGGCGTAGACACAGTACTGGTATGTCTCTGGGTGTAGCCCTCGTCTCTGCCCACTGAGGACGGTGTGTGACCGAGGTGCCTGATATGTGTACCTAGAAATTACAAGGAGTCCCATACTTGCAGGTGTGGAGTGTAACAGGTGGGGTGAGCTGGTGCTACAGGGAGGTAAGATGGTGTTACTATATATGATGACCTAATGTGCTATATTCCATACAGGTGGAGCAGTCTGACATGTTGAGTGTGCTTGTAAGAAGGGTAACCAAAACCATCGTTGTTCTTCTGAGGAAGGCCAACTCATTTGTATTTTACCTGAATGCAGTATGTTTTATAAGGAATAATTTAGTTAAGACATGTTGTGGTTTCACCCTTCTTTTCCCTTATCGAGCTGGTCAATGAAAAACCTAACCCAATGCCTAATCCATTCTGCCTGCTACCTAATGATCTACTGCCCAGAGGGGGTCTGGTGGCAGCAACCCTTAGAAATTAAGAATAGAGTTAAGTTATCCCCTTAGACTTAGTGACCCCAGAATACTAATGAATAAAAAAATGGTATTATCTTTTCGGTAATCTTAGGGTGGCTTTGGTTATGTTAGGTTATGTTAGATTACGTTATGTTAGGTTAGGTCAGGTCAGATCCCAAACGCCTCAAAAAACACCGGAAAAACATATTATTTCAACACTTCCAAATAGGTTGACAACCGAAATGACAATTTTACCCATTACAGTACGGTCCCAATTCGGTGGAGTATAACTAGCACAGTCCCAATTAGACCTGGAACATAAAGAACACCATCCCAATTACAGTAGCTGGGATGCAATGAGCACAGTCCCTATTATGTCAAACTTGTTAAATACCCTCCCAATTACACCAGACAAAGCGAACGATCCTTAACTACCGCATAAGTTGTTCAGCCCACATCCTATCAATATCATGCAATTAATATCTATAAGTGACAGAACTCGTTAGCTGGAGGTGGTAGACGAGTGTAACAATGTCAATAACGATCAATTAAAGGTCACTCGACAATGACCCTCGTTGTATTAAAGGGGTCAAAGGTCATCTGGTAGTATTTAATGTATTAATCTAAGCATAGTCCCTCCTTGCCATAAAGATACATCAGTTAGTTTAGTCGTTCATCCTAATACATCTAAATTGAGCTTAAATTCACAACCAAATTATATCATCTCTTAAAAAAAATTGTGCCGTCATTTTAGTCAATATATTTTTTTTATAAGGCAATGAATAGAATTAAAATGGCTGTCTAGATTTTATTTTTTAATCAAAGACAGTTTTATAAATCATGTACAGTACAAAAAAGGGCAATGAACACAATTAAAATGGCTGCCTAGATTATATTGTCAAGCCAAGACAGTTTTAAAAAAATATGTACAAACAAAGTTACATTTATATATACGGTATATATATAGAAATAAAACTAAAAATATTGTATAAAAACGTCAAGAGTCTATTCCGTGGGACGTCTCAACTAGGATAATTGAAAACATTCCTGTGTGGTATTCTCCCTTAGTACACAGCCCCCCCTATTCTCCCTCTGTACACACGCTCCCTAAAATATCTTGACGAGTTTGTGCTACGAGGCGAAAACGACAGTAAATGAAGAATGAATTTGATGTTCCTTCCGACACACCGAGAGTCGAGGCGCTTGTTTTGGAATTCGTCTCACCTTTCCATAGAGATATTTCCCGGAGCGAGTGTGATATATTAGAGACCTATTTCAAGTACTTAAGCATAATGGGAGCACAAATAATACAAAAACAAACCTATTAGCCTTAATTATGCTCTGGCAATAGGTATAACACCACCAGGTTGACCAATTAGACTCCATATATAAGACTCCAAGAGATCCAACAACAAATAAGGCTTCATTATACTTTGTCAATAAGTATAACACCACCAATAAGACTCCATATAATGCAAGAGGTTAAAAAACATACAGTATTGTTCCATTATACTCTCCCAGTTAGACAAATTAGACTCCATTTATAAGATTCCAAGAGGTCAAAAAAAACTATGAGGTATAATTATACTCTGTCAACCGGTATAATTATCACCATAAGAGTAGACTCCAGTTACAAGACTCTATACAATAATAGGTCATCAATTACTCTTGAACAAATGTATTAACTACTACTGACCTATAATCACCTTCCAACTACCTATAACAACGTCCTATAATAAACAATTATAGACTTGATATATATAACTGATAGGACAACTAACTCTTAACAGGTCATTACAGGATCTTTTTATCTCGTGTTAAGGGTCGTTAAGGGTCATTATCAGTACCACTACCTATAACAACGTCCTATAATAAACAATTATAGACTTGATATATATAACTGATAGGACAAATCACTCTTAACAGGTCATTATAGGATCTTTTTATCTTGTGTTAAGGGTCGTATTGAAGACGTTAAGGGTCGCAATGCAGTCGTTAAGGGTCATGAGGTCGTTAAGGATCGTAATGGCGTTAAGGGCCTTAACATCGTTAAGGGTCATAATGTCGTTAAGGGTCGTGATGAATCAGGGAAGATATACAGACATATTAAATCCAGGTAAATGATCTCTATACATCCAAGTAAATACTTGTGAATAAATAAACAGTAAATCAAGTTAATAAAATAATGGCTGTCATTATCAGTCATCATTATCATCTTCACATCATTATTTCATTATCATCATCATATTACCTTTATCATTATTACCATCATCACATCACCATCATTATCATCGTCAATACCAAAGTACTGTAACCCTGTTTTTTCTTCTTATCATTCTGGGTAAAACAATTCAATCACGGTAATTTAGGGAAAAACTTCAATCACGGTAATTTAGGGAAAAAACTTCAATCACGGTAATTTAGGGAAAAAACTTCAATCACGGTAATTTAGGGGAAAACTTCAATCACAATAATATCAGGGGGGTAAACTTCTCCCCCCCCCCAATAAAAGATATGATATATTAGTATAATCATGAATATTTTTATTGGTGGAAAAAATTATTCATATTTTTTTCATTTTTTTTCCTGGCTTCCATTCCTCCTCCCCGTACCAACACCCACAGTCAGTATAGCTTGTGACGTACACTACACCATATACAGTATACATATATATACATAGCTACCACATTGGATGAACTTACTCTTTATTTCGTGTATTTGATTTATTCATTGTGCGAAAAAAAAACCCCCAAAGGAATCAATTAAGTCGATCGGGAGATATATATATATATTTTTTTTTTAGTTTTTAGATCAACTTATTTTTTTATAATTTTCCAAAAATATTCAATTTCTCATATTTTTAAAATCACTCACATAACTACACAGAGTTTTGATACCGTTCTGGAGGGGGGGGCGGAGGGGGGGGCGGAGGCGGCAGCATCATCATCGTCGTTGAGCCTCTGCAGACGATCGTTAACCGAATCGCAGTCTATTTCGGACGTTGCTAGGGGCGACCTGAAGAGCACCTGCGAATCCGCGACGCTCGAACACGTCGGGTCGCTAGACAGGCTACGAGAACTCCCCAAGGGCCTATGTTCCACGATGTTTACGGTCTTCTTGGCTCTCAGACTCTTGGACGTTTTGAGCCCCGAGTTGGACGAGCCTCCGGGAGCGTCCGCCAGGCCTTCCCTCAGGTCGCCCTTCGAGGATATTATTCTTCTCTTCACGGATTCCAGGTTGTTGTTGAGCCTCCGTCCGGTTATGTGGGACTTAACGCTGGAGAAAGCCGTGGAGGTGTTCATCACCGACGAGGTGTTGTTGTTGTTGTTGTTGGACGTCGGGGAGAGCGGGGCTAGGCCGATGGTCTCCGAGTCGTCCGACGGATGGATCACGATGAAGTTGCGCTTGATGGTGCCGTCGATCACCATGCTACGGACGCCGACCCTCTTCCCGGCGGATTCGAACTGGCCGTCGAGTAGTTTATCCCCAACGACGACTGGGTTAACGACGCCCGGGTCTCCGCCGCCGTCGTCGATCTTTACGGAGGACAATCTGTTACCTCTCGCTCTCTTTGGGGTCAATGACGAAGCACTTTTACTCTTTTCCTTCTTGAGGGAAAAGGAAAAAAACCTCGACGTTTCTCCGGACTTGGACGAGGGGGAAGCGGACCTCGTCCCATCGGGGTCGTTCTCTCGAGACTCCTCGTCCGTAGAGAGCGCCGCCGACGACTGCCGCAGTTTGTTCTTGTCCCTGCCGCCCCGGGGTACTCTGGGGGATCTCCTGGGGCTCCTCTTGGGGGGAGTAGGACTCCTTATAGGGAGACCCAGCAGGACGCTGTGGTTCTCGATCTCTAAATACTTACTGAGGTCTTCTACGCTCTCTCCCCTCAGGTGCTGTAGGCTCTCCGTACGCGACCATCTCCCCAACTGTGGCGGAGAAGACTCCCCGAGACTCTTACCTCTGCGTTTTGGCGGCGTAGGCGTAGATATCACCGCCGGCGACGACGGTGTTGGTGTTCTACCGCCGTGGTTCACCTGAGGTAATTCCTGACTCCATTCTAAGGACGGTTGGTATATGATCTTGGTCCTCACCAGCGTGGGGGAGCTGGCGTCGATGAACGTCACGTCTTCGCCGTCGTAGTTCAGGATATCAGTAGTGACGGTCTTTCGTGCACCCGAATCGTTTAAACCTTCGCCGGCCGCATCGACGGCGCGGGAATCGTCGATGGGTTCGACTATTTTCAACTCGACGAGATCGAATCCGTCGGAGGCTCTCTCTTCGTCGACGTGCGGACGACCCGACTTAATCTGCCCGTCGCTCGTTGGTTTGTTTACGCTCGATGACTGTTCGATATAAGCTCTCAAAACAGCCTCGTGATCTAACCCAAGACTATTTGGAGTTTGACTTATCAAGCGAGATTCATTTGCTTGGGAGTCGTCGTTTACCCCAGACGCAGCGTTGTGTTGACCCCCGGTGATAAGAGAGCTGTTGTTGTCGTGGCAGGATGTGGGATTTTCACCGTTATGCTCGGATTTCGGGGATAATACACTCTTCCCTCGCACCTCTTTGTTGTGTCTGTGGTGGTGACCTAACCCTCCAAGCTCTTGCGGGGTTCGCTGGTGACCTGACCTTCCAGGCTCTGACGTTCTCTGATCCGAGTCTTCTGGGGTTCTCTCTTCCTCCTCCTCCTCTTCTTCAGGAGGGTCTTGGTCGAGCCTCTGTATAGGTAGATCATAATGGCTGAAACTCTTCCTGTTGTCATGTTCTCTCGTCTGTATCGCGATGGAACTCGCGTCGTTTTGCCCGGCAGGCGTGGAGTCGGATCTGACGTCACTTTCTCCATTTTTGGTAACTTCCCGTTCGTGATTATGTTTTCCATTTTCATTCGATTTATTGCTTTTATCGTCTATTAAATCATCGGGACTTTTATGCTTCCCATTTTCATTCGGTTTCTTGTTTTTGTCGTCTCTTAAATCACCGGGACTTTCTATCTCTCCAGTGGATTCATTCCCCTCGGCTATGTCCCTAAACTTGTGCGAACTCAAGTCGTCAGCAGTGTCGTTGGAGTCCTCGTCTGAGTCCCTCGTCTTCGCATCCACCAAAGTGTAATCGCTCACAGACGACCGACCCCTCAAGGAAGGCACCTGTTCCACCACGGTTGACAGTTCCCCGTTCGAACTGCGCGACTTGCGTACGACTATGGGGGTGTTACCGTACTGGCTGACGGACGACGATCTGCGCGTACCGAATGTGAGGTAATTCCTGACGTCGTTGTCCTCCACAGATTGCTGGAAATGTAAATAACTTGGTGTTGAAATCTTTCAGATAATTATCATTCCCAGAGCCGGAATTTTAAAAAAAATTCCGGCTCTGGGAATGATAATTATCCGAGGGGCAGATTATCCAAAGAATTATGAGAAAATTTTCCCGATATCCGGAGAATTCCGGGGATGGGGGAGTTCTTTTTTCCCCGGGTTTCAGAGATGGAAATCGGGATTTTTTCCCCGAATTTCCCGACAAAAATCATCTTGAAAACTTTGTGTCAAATATTAATGAAACACCAAATCATTTACTGTACATATTGAACCATTCTTAGGTACATATTCTTGAACCATTCTTAGCTACGAGTTTAAATACAATAAGAACAAAATACAGTAAACTACAGTTAAATAATACAAATACAATACTGTATTTTTGTTATTACTGTATTATCTTTACTAATCTAACACTAACGTAACACTACCATGCCCTCATATCATAAGAGGATAACTACCATGTCCACATACCTTGAAGAGGACATACGCTGTGTCCTTGTACCGTAGCCTGATGCCCGCAGGATCCTCGGGATACGTGCAGCTGCGGGATTCTTCTAAGAGGTCCTTTATCCGGTCTTCAGCTGAGACGCCGTCCACCATGGTTGTTATTGTTCACCTGCGTCATACTGATGTACACTGGGGGGGGGTGGAGAGGGGTTAGGTTAGGGGGGTAAATGAAGTATGTGGTCATTAATACAGAGCTGCATTTATAAAGGAACGATGATGTCGGTATACAACCCTGCTTCATCCCCCTCCTCTCCCTCACCCCCTTCCCCTCTCCTCACCCCCTCCCTCACCCCCTCCCCTCTCCTCACATTACAGTATACACCTACTTACAGTATGTATACAAATAAATCACTGTATGTATGATCCATGTATATACTGATAAATACACAAGGAAATAATAAAATACATAGATCCCAGGTGCTTTTGTGTGTATGTTTAGTAATCTGGGGTCGACAATCTTCAAGTAGATCAACAAATGCAGGAAGGAACACACACACACACACACACACACACACACACACACACACACACTGTTTCGCTATCAAAAACAAGATTACCGACCCAGCCAGACCCTTCCTCACGACACGTACCGACAACCAGCTGATAAAAAATGGTGATGTCGTTTTGGTCATCAAGCGAATTTTTTGGATTTTTAGTTACCGACGTTCGAGAGAGGTTTAAGTTAGGTTGGGTTAGGTTAGGTTAGTGTTTAGGGTTAGATTAGGTTAGGGTAGTGTTACGTTAGTATTGGGTTGGGTCTGGTTAGGTTAGTTTGGATACCTAAATAACAATACTGGAATGACTGAAACTAAACTTGTTTCCTTGTTAAGTTAGATTGGTCAGGTAACTTGGGTTGGTTGCCGTGATATTTGAAATCATTTTTACATTAAATTTCCTCGAAGGAAGTCCTTTTGCCGTTAACAGGTAGTTCACTAAGGTAGTATATAGGTATACAGTAGTTCACTAAGGTAGTATATAGGTATACAGTAGTTCACTAAGGTAGTATATAGGTATACAGTAGTTCACTAAGGTAGTATATAGGTATACAGTAGTTCACTAAGGTAGTATATAGGTATACAGTAGTTCACTAAGGTAGTATATAGGTATACAGTAGTTCACTAAGGTAGTATATAGGTATACAGTAGTTCACTAAGGTAGTATATAGGTATACAGTAGTTCACTAAGGTAGTATATAGGTATACAGTAGTTCACTAAGGTAGTATATAGGTATACAGTAGTTCACTAAGGTAGTATATAGGTATACAGTAGTTCACTAAGGTAGTATATAGGTATACAGTAGTTCACTAAGGTAGTATATAGGTATACAGTAGTTCACTAAGGTAGTATATAGGTATACAGTAGTTCACTAAGGTAGTATATAGGTATACAGTAGTTCACTAAGGTAGTACATAGGTTTACTGTACACCATTAACAACAAGAGAAAAAATCGACAAACTCTACATAAACTACGATTAAAAGTCATCCATCTTCACTATTCATCATTTTATACATATGAGTAAGAAAAATCACAGAATAATACATATTAATATGCATGTATACTATGGGGTAATAGAACAGGTAAGGGAGTAATTAAGGAAGGTAAGGGACTAATTAATGAGACAGGTAAGGGACTAATTAATGACAGGTAAGGGACTAATTAAGGAAGGTAAGGGAGTAATTAAGGAAGGTAAGGGAGTAATTAAGGAAGGTAAGGGACTAATTAATGAGAAAGGTAAGGGACTAATTAAGGAAGGTAAGGGACTAATTAATGAGACAGGTAAGGGACTAATTATGGGCAAACAGACAGGTAAACTGGCCCCCCCAAAAAACTCATTAAGGTGCAATTAGTGCCATGGGTGAATACTCTTACCTGTAATAAGTGACAGAAAGTGAGGAAAGTGAGAGAGAAGTGAGGAAAGTGAGAGAGAAGAAGTGAGGAAAGTGAGAGAGAAGTGAGGAAAGTGAGAGAGAAGTGAGGAAAGTGAGAGAGAAGTGAGGAAAGTGAGAGAGAAGAAGTGAGGAAAGTGAGAGAGAAGTGAGGAAAGTGAGAGAGAAGAAGTGAGGAAAGTGAGAGAAAGGAGGTCCAGATTGTATACATTAATTGAGAGAAGTGAGGAAAGTGAGAGAACATAGAGAAGTGAGATAACTTACACTGAGTAATATTAATCTAAGGCTTCTCTCTCAACAGGTGGTAGAAGACTGTGGTAGAAGACTGTGGTAGCTTCCGGAAGTTACATTTCCTGCCGATCATTTGATGTGACTGTGATCCTTTCCTTACCCCCCCAGCAAGTAAACAATAAATACCATAAACATCATCACCACAAACAATCCTATCTTCTTAAATCCTCTTTAATAAGATCAAAACTTCCTTATAAAACTATTTAATTCTTTATATTGATGCTTTTTTTTTCATATTGTCATAGAGAGAAAGAGGATCATGATCGTAAACACATATAGTTCCTGTAAATAAACACCATAAGTATAACCACCACAAGAGAATCCAATCCTCTTATAACAACAATAACAAACTTAAATCCTCTATATACCACAATTATAAAGAATCTGATTTTATTTATCGATATTATTTTTTTCTAGATCGTAATAGAAGTAGAGAGGTTCATGATCGTAAACAAATATGGTCTCAGTGTCAGTGGTGGGAGGTTAATGGTAACACCCTTGGGTCATCTGCTCTTGGCTCTCTAACCACCATCACATATAGTTAACCTCTACTTCACGAGCTTAATATAGTGTCAAGGTAAAGTAATGTCTCTAGTGTACGAGGCTGTTAATGGTGAGGTGTGATGGTGGGTGTATGGTGGGATGTAAAACTCCTCTATTTAACGGACTATGGGCAGGAAGTTCCGTTATATAGAGGTGTCATTAGTGTATAAAACTCCTCTATTTAACGGATTATGGGCAGGAAGTTCGTTATATAGAGGTGTCATTAGTGTATAAAACATCTCTATTTAACGGACTGTATAGAGAAAAAGTTCCGTTATATAGAGGTGTCATTAGTGTATAAAACATCTCTATTTAACGGACTGTATAGAGAGGGAATCGTTATATAGAGGTGTTTGTTAGTTGTGAAACCTCTATTTAACGAACCCTCGATATAATGGACTTTTATCTCTATATAGTTCATTAAATAGAGGTCTCACTACCTTAACCTAACACTACCTTAACCTAACACTACCTTAACCTAACACTACCTTAACCTAACACTACCTTAACCTAACACTACCTTAACCTAACACTACCTTAACCTAACACTACCTTAACCTAACACTACCTTAACCTAACACTACCTTAACCTAACACTACCTTAACCTAACACTACCTTAACCTAACACTACCTTAACCTAACACTACCTTAACCTAACACTACCTTAACCTAACACTACCTTAACCTAACCCTAACCTAACCTAACCTTTCTGCACAGGGTTGGAGCAGTATGGGTAGTCTACAGGCTGACATAGGCGAGTTGGCTCATCATTTGAAGCAAGAGCGATTATTTCTGGAAGCGGAGAAGCACCAAATACAACTACTCAACGAGAGAGTACGTACTATTGTTTATGTACTATTGTTTACGTACTATTGTTTACATACTATTGTTTGCGTACTATTGTTTCTGCATTCATTGTTTACATATACTATTGTTTACGTACTATTGTTTACGTACTCATTTTAAGTATTCCTTTGACAATTTTCTTGGTGAAATTTTAGTTTGGGTCTATGTATGGTTAGGTTAGGCTAGGCTAGGCTAGGCTAGATATCCAAACAATGTCTCCGATGGTTAGGTTAGAATAGATTGAGGTTAGGTTAGGTTAGGCTAGATATCCAAACAATGTCTTTCCGATGGTTAGGTTAGAATAGATTGAGGTTAGGTTAGGCTAGGCTAGGCTAGATATCCAAACAATGTCTTTCCGATGGTTAGGTTAGAATAGATTGAGGTTAAGCTCATTTCCCTAACTAACTCCTACACTTCATTACAGGTCAGTAAAACTATCGAACGACCTTACCATGTGTCTTGTGTTAGGTTAGGGTTAGACTGGTAGAATTACATACTCCGGTTGGCCGAGGTGACCAAAATATCATAAGGGCGACAAGATTTTACTATTTTGTTGGTCTGGGACAGGCGAGTGGGTAAGACAAACTCAATGTGCATAAGAGCTTCATATAGAGAATAACACTATTAATGGTAGTTATGTTAATTGTATCACCCAAGAGGAAGGGAATAAAATATATTCACTCAATGATATAATGTAGTGTGATAAATCTGGACAAATGAGTTGGTACAATGCCACCTAGAACACCAGGCCGGTTCAGGGATTGTATGACGCCACACACCACCGCCAGTCATGTCGCTGTGTATGAAGACCGCGCATTGTAATGAATAAACTGAGTCTAGTTATGTAGATATGCAATTGTGTGAAATTCATTTCTACTCATAATATATAAAAGCAATGACAGCAAAATTTAATACCTATGAATGTATAATAGGCAAGAATTAAACAATCGATGAGAACTGCCTTTTTCAACAATCACACCATTTATTATCAAAAACAATTTCCAAGCACATATATTCGATTATCACCCGATACAAGCGAGATATCGAAAATAATAACTGCATTGCAGGGAGATTTGACAACCAATTCACACACATTCAAAATCTAATAATGGTGACTATTGTATTATAGAACAAGTGAATTATATAGATATAAAATATTAGAAATTTGGTCAAGGTTAAAGCTTTCACATTTTTATTTTTTTCTTAACATTATCGTTATTTCTTTTGCATAAATTATATATTATTATTATCCAATTGGGAAGCACTGGTGGAGACTACACCCAGGTTTCAGTCTAAGTGATGCTGCATCCGTCCAAGAAATGTGTTTGTTCTGATGAATTCATGCTATGGCTGAAACTTGGAAGCAGAAGCTACGTAGTTGGCATTGGTACAGATGGGCCCAGCGTTATGACTGAGTGTAGAAATGGTTTAATGTAGCTCGGTGAGAAAGAGATCTAGAGAAACAGGGATTTGGAAGGCATCCATTGTACTGCACATAAATTGAACTGGCTTACAAAAAGGATGATGCAGTAAATGATGTTCACTAGCCACAAAGGTTGACTTACTGCTGCTAGACATATACTGTTTGAAAAAGGGGATTCTCTTAACAGGAGCATGTTGAGAAAACTTGCTCATGACCATATGCCAGGTATCATTTATGGTTCCAACTGCGTGTGGGTGGTACAAGGTGGCTCTGGCATATGCTGCAGGCATTGGAGTATCTACTGAAGGTTACCAGGCTATTTTACTCCACATGCAGCAGATGCAGAACCCTGATGATCCCATGTACACAAGGATTCATCCAGAAAACTAGAACTACCTGCTCCTTGTGTTGACGGTCAGTACCTTCACCTCTACTGGGGTCCTCTCAAGAGCTGTTTGGTCAAACAAATATTTCTGCTATTGTGGATGAAATTCAGACTGCAGTTGATGTACTTAACAAATGACTGACTTGGCCAGGACCCAGCCACAAAGGATTATGGAAGGTAACACGATCATGTTCAGGAAAGCAGTGGTAGGAGCAACACTTCCAGGACTGCATGGCTTGACCAATACTTTGACATCACCGATTTCAAGTCTAAACAAAAGATTTATTTACATGGCCAAAATAGAGGTGCCAAAATTCACGGATTCTGAATTTCAAATTGTGGCTTGCAGAGTACAGTGGGAATGAAGACTTCGAGGGGCTAGCGCCCGTGCTAGCGTTGGCCCAGGCTCTTGAGAAACACTGATGGAGGCAGAGGTGAATCTACTTTGGTAGAGGATGAATGGACTGTGTTCAAAAGTTACATTAAAGAGGAAGACATCACTTGTTTCAAGACTCTTGGCAACAAATCAACCAGTCATACGGAGAAAAGGTATGCCTCATTTCTCCATCTGGATTTGACCTACCGTTCTCAGTCCAGCTAGTTAGGCCCGTGCTGAGCGTGGTTTTAACTCCAGGTCAAACACATTAAGACAGATTGGCAGTGGGTCTCACTGATGATGACCACCTGTGGATCACATGGTGGATTTCCGGTTACCAGTGTGTTGGCAACTTCAATCGGACAAAGCCATTTGCCGGAATTCTAACAACTGTGGCCTGCTGTGTGGATGGCTACACTTTCACACTGCCCGGCTGCAGCACGGTGGAAGATCTGGGCGACAACAATAAAGGTTGAGCGAGGGCGTATGCGGAAATGCTTGTTCATCTGTGACAAATCATTGTTCCATGCAATTAATTTAGTTATTCCAGTGTTGGTTTATGATTTAACATGGTTTCTGTTAGTAAATAAATGCATCACACAGTAAATAGAACAATATATAAGCCGGTGGTGCCAATGTTTAATGTTTCTGGACAAATTGTTTAAGGGCTAGTCAAAATTTATAAGGACTAGTAAATTTTCAAATCTACTACAGTACTAGTCCTGCTGGCGACTATGATAAAATGGTGAATTTTACCCTGTTAGATTAGGATAGATTAAGTTAGGTTAGGTTAGATTAGATGAAGCCCATTCCCCTAACTAACCTCTACACATCGTTACAGGTCGGTAAAACTATCGAACGAGCTTACCATGCATCGTGGGTCAGGGGAGAACAGCAAAGGAACTACGATGACCTGGTACTGCGACCACACACCTCACCCCCTGCTTGCTGCCAGAGAACCAACCTGCTGAACCAACTCAAGTTCATCGATGGCTATAAAGTTTTGGGATTTAATGTAAGTTCAGTAATGAGGTTTGTTTTAAGTTCTCAGATGTTCCTTAGCTCTCAGAGGTTCCTTTTGAAGTTACTACAGATACATACTGTAATTATACATAACCTACATATCCATCATAATGTATATATGTATAACCCCTATAGTACATACCCCACTAACCCACCATAATGTATCAAAATATCTATGTATCTATGTATAACCCCTATAGGAATTCTCACGGGGACCTGTTATCAAGTCTGCGTGAAAACCCCCGACTCGTAGCCAGGTGTCTGGTGGTGGGGGAGAACCAGAGTCAAGAGGTGATGCAAGTTACAGCCAGGACAGTCTTCTCATCTATCTACGCCAATTGCCTCCTGCCTAATGATGAGACCTACGTGCTTAATCTGTTGAAGTAAGTAGAGTGTGTGTAGAGTGTGTTGAAGTAAGTGTGTGTGTGGAGTGTGTTGAAGTGTGTAAAGTATGTCATCTACTTCATCGTGTTATGAGAGACTGCTAGTGGCAGTTTTATCAATGTGTGGCCATGATGTGGGCTTTTATTCCATTGTGGCCATGAGAGAGAGATTTTTTATCAATGTGTGGCCACAGTCCAGAGGGGCGGCAAGACGCTCGATGGGAACCAATCAGCTCAGAGTAAAGAAGAGGGGCGGTGCTTATGGGCCATAGGTGGGGGAGGTAAGATGTAAGATGCTCGGGGGAACCAATCAGCTCGTAGTATAGAAGAGTGGGCGGGCTACAGGCCACATAGTCCAATCACGATCCCTTACGCCGTTTATATCACCCCAGACACATGATGGAACTCCAGTTGGCACGTCAGAGACCCCAAGGGGTGCCCTGCCACGCTCCGCGCCGCTCAGTCAGGTTTACCGAGCCTACGTCGATACTCTACCCCAGGCCAAGGTAGGTGGAGAACGTGTCTTATTTTTGGGGGCGTTTTTCACTGCGTAGATTTTATTTTTTTTCCCGTGGTGATAGATAATTTTGTATGTACTGGTGTAACAACCTTCTTTCCTCACACAGCCAAACATAATTACCTTCATCTCCCCCTTAATTACCTTCATGTCCCCCTAATACCTTCATCCCCCATAATTACCTTCATCCCCCATAATTACCTTCATCTCCCCCTTAATTACCTTCATCTCCCTTATTACCTTCATCTCCCCAACAGGTGTTCCTAACGGCCGCTCTGCACCAGCCAATCGTACAGCTGCTGATGGAAGACGAACTGTTCCTGGACATCGACCCATCCAAGGCCGCCGTCCGCTTCCCGGCCGAGGAACGACTCAGGAGGTTCGGCAAGGAAGGCACCCCTGAGTACAATGCGGCCCTGGCCAAGTACCGGGCCTGGACCATAGCCAAGCTGGTCAAGATTGCCGACAGGTAGGTGGGGGAGAGGTTATTGTTTTGAGGGACGGTCGGTAGGAAGAATCTCAGGGATTTGTGTGTGGTGATGTGGTGTATGGTGGGATATGGTGGATGGTGTGGTGGATGGTGTGGTATAAGGTGTGGTTTATTGGAGAGTGTATTAGTCCTATACAGAATCATAATTAAAAAAATTAACGCCCCTAAAAATTAATTCCCATTCTCTTTATAAATCAATTAACCTTAAGATACTGACTATTTTCCCTCATTTTTTCCCCCACCTTTTTTCCCTCAGGTTCATGGAAAGCATAAAGGAGGCTATGAATTGTTTCCCGCCCCAGTTGTCTTGGCTGGTCAGGATCCTCTACGACGTGTTGCTAACGGCCAAACGAGCTGACACCAGAGAGGTCAGCGCCATCTGTGTCGACCTAGTGTTTGCCTTCTTCCTCTGTCCGGCTCTGGTCACACCCGAGCCACACGGGATCTGTGACGCGCCCATTTCTCACATTTCCCGATTTAATCTCATACAGGTGGGTGGTGTTTTTTTTTTTGGTGGGTGGAGTTTTTTATTTTTATTTTTGTTGATTGGTTTGTTTTGGTTTAGTCTAGGTGTGTGTGTGTGTGTGTGTGTGTGTGTGATTGTGTGTATGTATGTATCTATGTATATGTGTGTATGTATGTACCTACCTAATAGAAAATAACCAACCATGAAATACACCCAGATAAAGATGTCTCAGCTCAATGTCTCAGTTCGATGTCTCAGCTCAATGTCTCAGCTCGATGTCTCAGCTCAATGTCTCAGCTCGATGTCTCAGCTCAATGCTAAAGACTGTCATCCTTATCCTCTACCACTCTTCCACCTCCTCCCACTCTCTCTCTCTCTCTCTCTCTCTCTCTCTCCCTCCCTCAGGTGGCCCAGATTCTACAGGTCCTAGCCATGAGCAGATGGGAAAGTCCAGATGTCCGACTGACTGATCTGTACTCACACTTCGACAAGGAGGTAAGTAGACTCCTAGTTATGGGGGCTAGTAGTTATGGGGATGCTAGTAGTAAGTAGACTCCTAGTTATGGGGGCTAGTAGTTATGGGGGCTAGTAGTTATGAGGATGCTAGTAGTAAGTAGACACCTAGTTATGAGATTATTTCCAGCCTAGAGATTATTTCCAGGCTTTATTTCCAGGTTATATCGGGCGTTGTTGATGGGATCCTGAAGGGGCGGGTCAGAGGCTCCACCACCCGGAGTGACCTGCCTTAACAGCCCTCTGAGTAGCCTCGTTCGCTCGTCCTGCCTCATTCCCGAACCTCGTTTACACACGCTGTGCCTTCCTCTACTCTGTAAGTATGGAGGGGGTTATGAGATAATTACAGTATCTCTCTCTCTCTCTCTCTCTCTCTCTCTCTCTACTCAGCTCTGAACTAGAAGACTATTTAATCTCTTCATTTCATTAACTACCTCGTTAATGTTTCCAGATAACGAGCAAATTGCCCTAACCCTATTTAAACTCCTCAACACACTAACGACCTCCTCAATACACTAACTACCTCCTCAACACACTAACTACCTCCTCAACACACTAACTACCTTCTCAACACACTAACTACCTCCTCAACGCACTAACTACCTCCTCAACACACTAACTACCTCCTCAACACACTAACTACCTCCTCAACACACTAACTACCTCCTCAATGCACTAACTACCTCATTAATGATTCCAGATAATGAACGAATTACCTGAAGACGACGAGATGCGGAAGGAACTAGAGGTATCTGTCGGTCGCCTCAAACCGTCTCACTTCTCTCCAGCACAGTCGAGCAGCCCAGCCATCTCCACCCCTACCACCACCAAGAAGAATTTGTTGGAGAGAGTCAAAAGTAATAGGTAAGGTTGTGGTTTGGTTGTGGTAAGGTTGTGGTTTGGTTGTATTTTGGTTATGGTTTGGTTGTGGTATGGTTGTGGTATGGTTGTATTTTGGTTGTGGTTTGGTTGTGTTGTGGTTTGGTTGTATTAATGTTGTATTTGGTTGTATTTTGGTTGTGGTAATCTCTGAAAATTGGCTCCAAAAGTCATCCTGTGTCCTATATGTGAAGTTGTGGTCTCCAGTAGGTTAAAGTCTACCTAACCCAACCTAACTTGACCTAACCTAACCCAACCTAACTCGACCTAACCTAACCCAACCTAACTCGACCTAACCTAACCCAACCTAACTCCAACCTAACCTAACCCAACCTAACTTGACCTAACCTAACCCAACCTAACTCCAAATAAAGAATATGTTATTACTTAAACACATTATTATTATTATTATTATTAATTATAAAAAACTTATTGTAAATATAAAAGGTCAATGTATAACTACTGTAATGATGACCTGAGATGGTTAACGACCATACATCAGACACCCAGTTCATCAGAGGTAACTACGTAGTAACCATTTGTCAACTATTACAATCTGTTAATGTCATAACTACAACAATTATTTTTAAATATACAAATACCTGAAACAACTGATGATGTTTTACTGATAACTTTACCATTTACACCTAACTTTCTTTTACAATTTACATATAACTTTCATTTACCATTTACATCTCTTAACATCACTGGCAACATTGAAGCCAAGGTAGAGTCGTCTCGGAACCACCAGCCTGACTACTGGGCCAAGCTGTCAGGTGTTATGGTTGTTTTCAAATCGTAGTTCCGGGCAGATATAATGTAACTTTCTTCATTTATTTTACTGATATACATACATACACCATCATACATACACCATCATACCTACACCATCATACCTACACCATCATACATACACCATCATACCTACACCATCATACATACATATTGTGAAAAAACGTAAAATAAATAATTGTCCTAATGGTAAATACATAAAAATAATGTTATGGAAATCCTTCATCAGTCCGTCGTCTGGCCCAAAATTGTAAAGGTAGTTTGTGGAACGATCAGAACTACTTGTTAGGCCTGTATACCAAACCTAAACTACTCTTAACCCTCAATAGTCTCTGAACAAGCATAACTACACCTTGACCTCCCCAAACAAACCTAAACTACTCTTAACCACCAATAGTCTCTGGAACAAGCATAACTACACCTTGACCCTCCCCAAACAAACCTAAACTACTCTTAACCACATCCCAAACTACCCTCCCAGAATCAAGAGCAACAGCACCAAGACCCAGAACGAGGGTAGCGGCGATTCAGATTCCTAGGTCGTTACATGAGTCCTCAACGACCCAACAACCACAGCAACTACTTCAAGGACAACAGAGCAGTATGGATGAAGGTGACGTCATGCCTTCCCCTATAGACTACGACACGGTGCTGGTCATCTCACTCAACACCTCTAGTCCCCCAGAGTGCCCAGGACTCATGTCAGAAGATAAGGTGCTCTCAACTCTACAGGTGATTTGTTTGGGGGTTTGAATGTTTACGTTTTTTAAGGTTTTTATTTATTTATTTTGTTTTAGGTTTTTTTTAAGTTTTTTTATCTTTTAATTTATTTTTTATTGTTTTTAGTTTTGTTTAATTTTTTCGTGTTTTTCAGGTTTTTAATTTTTTTTTAGGTTTTGTTTTGAATTTGTAGTTTTTTATTTGTTTATTATTTTTTGCTTATTTTTATTACCATGATAAATTTTAGACCATTTTTCATTACCAGGATATAGTATTATTTCTTAACTATGTCTACTACCATGATATTATTTCCTAACAATGGGTTAGGTTAGGTAACAAACCATCAACAAACGAAACATAACATCTCTATCGTAACCGACCTCCTTCCTCCCACCCCAGGCCAGCAAGTCAACCTCACGCGTCAGGATGAACGTAGAAGACGAGGGGGACGGAGGGGGGAGGAAGCCACCATCGAGAAGAGGACGAGGTTTTCCCTATCCCACGACGAGGGGTCGATAGGTAACACCTCTGACAACCTGGAGGCCATTAGTGAGGCAGCCAGTAATCACAGTGTTGCCTCTAGTCTTGACGATGTGGAACAGGTGTGTGTGCGCTTCATACATACAGTCCTCAACACACACAATATAGTCCCAACACAAATACACATACATACACACATACATACACACATACATACACACATACATATCCTGTAGCTGTCTTAAATTTATTGATCTTGTTGCATAAGACTTGGTTAGGTTAAGTTAGGTTAGGTAGTTTTGCAATCAGGTCAGGTCAAGTCAGGTAGTCTTACAATCATGTTATCAATAATGTCTATAAACTCTTCACCTTTTTACTTAGGTCAGGTTAGGTTATGTCATGTCATCTATAATGCCTGTTAACTGTCTCTTATTACTCTAGGTCACGTCAGGTCAGGTCATCAATAACGTCCATAAACTCTTCTCTTGTTTACTCAGGAAGATCAGCCGGACAACTTATCGGACATGGTATCGGCCAATGTGTCGGGCAGAGGGACTCAACGTCTCCGGCCGGGACACTCCGTCATCCCAGGTGACCGAGGGGGAAGAGGCCGGCCTGAGGAGTGGGGAGGAGAACCAGCCAGCCCCTCCCAACGTCCCGGTCACCGCCCCTGCCGCCCGCAGACATAGAGGAGAAGTTTGGACGTTTCGAGATCAAGCCGCTGATCGGCGGAGACGAGACCGTGATTCTGGTCTCCGACACCTGGAGCACCGACGTGTTGGCCAGCGACTCGGAGACGATCGAGGCGGCCGACAGGGCCGACCGCGGAGACCAGTTCCACGATCAACTCCTCAACCGGCATCTGGCGGAGCTAGACCGGATGCAGGGAGACTACCTGAGCGGAGACGCAGCCGGAGAGACTTTCGAGACGGCCTCCGAGGCCTGGAGTACGGACGTGCTGGCCTCGGACTCGGAGAGGATGACGGAATTCGACACGGACGACGCCCAGAGCGTGGCCAGGTCGGACGACACCGGCCGATCCGAGGTGGAAGTCGAACTCGGCCCGGGGAGCGACCTGCTCAGACCCGACCCCACACAACAGGAGGATAACGTCACCCCGGCACACGGATCTCGTTCTCCGGTCGACGGGGCCATGGGGGGCAGCGGGGGCATACTGAAACCCATGCCTGTTATGCCCTCGCTGTCAGACACCGGCAACAACACACTGAGCGGCATACTGAAGCCCATACCAGTGGTGCAGAATAGAGGCGGCAGACCGGCGACCCCCCCAGGGTAGAGTTCCAGCCCATACACCCGGCGGGAGACTTACCAGTGCCTCGTCGTCCAGGAGAGAGAGAACTCCCGGGACGAGCAGGAAATCGCCTCGGCCACCCAGTCTCTCGGCCGACTCAGCCTCAATCTCTCGACCCTCCCCAACAACGGCATAGTGCCGGGCGATCGACACCTGTTACTGAACACTTTCATCGGGGACGGCAACAGAGGGCCGACCGGGGCTCCCCTGATGGACCTGGGGACGGGTAACGACGGGGCCACATAGTCGTTCACCCTCAACATAAACTGCTTCCAGCGACCGCGGTTCGGGCGAGGACGGCAGTTTACACCTGAGCACGACCAGCTTGGCGTCGTCCAGCAGTTCGGGGTCGGACGTGGTGGGAGGCTCGGAAGGCGTTCTGCCTCCAGCGGTTCGGGTCCAACGGCGGATCTGGTCGACGCCCTGGAGCCCCCCGCTATAAGCATGGCCTCGACCGGGGCTATACCAAAGAGCATCAGCTTCGACAAGACGGCCGAGAGGGGCGACCGCGATGCCATCGACGGAGACGCCAAACACAAACGCGGATTTTTCAAGAATTTTAAACTCCCCGGGTTCAAGGGCCGACGTAAACCAGGGAGCAGGTCGGATGACTCCACTGCCTACATCCGCGCCGCCTCAACACCCAGGACCTGAACATAAGACGAGCGCTGTCGGAGGAAAACCGTCCTCCGACCATCGAGGAGACCAGCGACGACATACTGGCCAAATACCGCAACAAGAAGCCAGAAATAGACCCTCAGAGACCGATGGTATGGAGTCTGGTCAACACAACCTGTGAGTAAACCAGTAAGGTGTTATTTATCTCAGGGTAGCATTATAGATACAGTTATTTATATACAGAGGGACCCCGGGTTAGGTTAGGTTCCTGTTATTTGTACAGGGAACACAAGTTATGTACAGTACTTACAGAACAATGTTTAAAATACCACTACTATATCATAGCCTAAGACCTTATATAAATAACTTAATTTATGAACAAATACAATAAGTCATCAGGTAATTTTTTATATTTTATTCAGGAGATGTATAGATACATACATACATATATACATACATACATACATACATACATACATACATACATAGGTAAAGAGACAGACACACACACCAACCAATCACAATCTTTGGCCCTAAACCACCTCAATCCTCCCACAGACGTGAACGAGCCACCAAAAACCGAGGAGGATGAACGACTGTACATCGACCCGGCCAGCATCGAGACGAAGCACGCCTTTGCTGACGCCAAGAGAAAATTGCGTCTGGTCTTGAGTATTGCTGACTTCTCTATGTCGCCTTACCTGCCAGAGTTCGGCCAGCCTACGGGGAATGAGTACGTAGAATGGGCTAGATTGTGATGATGGGTCTAGATAGTTTGAGTTTGTGGGGCTGTTATGGGTCTATAATGGCTTAAATTAACTAATATATCTGGATAGTTTTATTATTAATATTATTACCACCACTACTATCATCACCACCACCACAACCACCACTACTATCATCACCACTACTACTACCACCACAACCACCATTACTATCATCACCACTACTACTACCACCACAACCACCACCACCATCGTCTAATAGCACCATCACCACCACCACCACCACCATCGTCTAATAGCACCATCACCACCACCACCACCACCATCGTCTAATAGCACCATCACCACCATTCACCCACAGCAACAACAGCCTGGATAACAACGCGTTGACCTGGTTACGTGCCAATGGGTCGTAGTTACCAACCTCCACGATCGTTTCTGGTCGCAGCTCCACGAGACGCTACTGCGGTACAGCTGTTTGACCTACAGGTAATTAGCGTCATGGTGATTTGAGGTGATTGTTTTACAGGTGATTTTAGAGTACTGGGGGTTGAGTATTTTGCCTTGGCGGCTACTTTATTTTACTCATCCTGTGGCCCAGTGGCATGAGGATTACGAAGAGTGCAATTTACAAGCGGATCTGTAAATTAACTTCATTGTTGGGATGTTATGCTTTTGAGATGTTGCACAGTGTTCATTGTTTGTTTTAGTTCTGCTCTTACTGCAGGTACATATTCTAAATGTTGTGAGTACAGGTGTGTGAGGAAGACGTATGTCTGGCCTCACGCATTTACTCACATTGCCTGAAAGTATTCGGCACATTGTTTGGTTCTATGAGAACGATATAGTGCCCACTGAGGTCTACAGAAAAGTGGATGCAATCGCCATATGTAGAAGCTATCTTGCCATTAGGTTGAAGTGTTGTGCCATTCACACACACCATGTTTTGTGAGACCTGTCTAAAGGTTCTATCTTCACACGGTGCGAAAGGGACGTAGTGTTCAAGTGTCAACGGCCGCATGTCTGGCCACACACTTACACATTAATCTTGTTTGCATCTTGAAGACATACTGCCAGAAATTACTTACCTCTAACGCTTAATCTAGACCACAACATCCTTAATCTAGTGATCTTGTTACTTGCGCTATATACATATTTCTTGATACATCTTGTCATGTGACCTGGATCAACTGGTTATGACACATGTGTCTGCTCGTCAGAGATTCTGTGGTTCTTCCTGAACTACAGTTTTAAGGGTTCTTTTGACGAATTGAAGTGTATTCAACGGTGGGGTGAGCGTAACCTGTCTATGTTTTATACGGGCCTGCTGTGAGGGGATCCACAACCAGTTTGACCTTGACGCGGTCGGCAAGGTGCAGCATATTTGTGTCTGCTTCCGGGGAACCAAAAGCAACAGGTTGAGGGGTTAATATCAAGGGCAAATGATGAGATTGATCCCAGTGATGAGACTGTATCGTAACAGTGGTTTCAATAGATTTAACCGCTGTGAGTATGGCAACTCATTCAGTTTTGTAGAGTGGATGCCAGTTGTTAATTCTAACTGTTTTCTTCGGTGAATATACCGTCAGTTGAAATCATAACAACTCCCTTGCCCCAGCCTCCACGGTAGAAGTGTTAAGAACCCATCAGTGTAGATGATGCGCTTTGTGATAATATCATCAGTCTGTAGAGTCATGTATGTGTTCAAAGGCTCTCCTTTGGCAGGTGTGACGGAGATAAATGCTGCAATATAGTAATTTTTAGGTGGTCACGTTGTTATTGTGTGATATCAAAGGAACATCTGTTTCCAGGGTGGCAGGAAGTGTTGTGTCTCCTTTTGTACCTGGGTGGTCTAGTCCAAACATCTTTAATAATGTAGCTATGGTTTGGATCTCTTTAAGCTCACCAGTCCCATGGTTCATACATTCTAACAATTTTAGAGAACAATGTATCAGGATCCTGCGCGAAGCCTCAGGGCTATCTCCCTTGAGTTGACAATTCTATCTTTTAACACTATGGGTATGCTAGTTCCTCATATTAAGTATACTTTGGTGATCATGGGACATCCTAGGATAATTCTGAGGCTTTGTTTTGCATTTCTCCGACTTATTGCGCCTTTCCACCACGAAAGGACCAGGGCTGGTGCATAGTAATCTCTCAGATCTTACCATAACGCCTAGGTACATTGTTTTTAGCAATTCTAATATTACCTTTTCATAGTGCGGACTCATACCCTTCTGTGAGGTCTCAGTCTGTCAATTACATTGCTTGGTTAGCTGTTTGTAGCATGGCAGGTAGAGGGTACAAGGACAAACACCAAGATATTTAAAAGAACATAGTCAATAATGTTGTTACCTATCTTGAGCAGGCGGGGCACGGCGTTTGATTCCAACCCCGTTTTGTTGAACACCTTAGTTTTTCTCATTGGAGGCCAACAGACCAAAGGTTCTCACAGGCTGCATATACATGGTCCGAGGTGGTTTGCATTTCACGATGGTTTGTTATGTGAAATATCCTCTTCAGCATGGCTGATTGAGATATTGCTGGGGTTGTTTGGTATTATTTAATAATGCATTCACGGAAATCTGTGTTAAACAAGTGGGGCTAAGTACTCACCTTGAGGGTACAAGTTGCCAAATCTTTAACTTCTTTTACGCCTGAAACAGTGCAGCAACCCTTCACCATTGGTTGGTATACTTATCCAGTGTAACAGCCTACATCTATATCCATCATGACCTGATTCCATTGCAACATAATTGCCTATTGGCAATATCAAGTATGCAACTTTCAGGTCAGAAATGTGAATTGTATCTGTGCCTTTCATCTACATGCAGTTAGGAAAGTGGTGATGCAATTATATACACCTTTACCGCTTGGGTGAAGCCATTTTATGTTGAGAACATGTGTTCTCTGATTCTATAAGTCTGCCAGAGCCATCCTCAAGGTTTTGCACAGGCAGCTGGTTATTTGATATGGGACGAAAAGGCATCCGAGGCTATCTGGTTTCGGTATTAGTACAACAATGCACCTTTTGGTCCATGATGTCAGGGTAGTTGTTTCCTCAAACATGACTCATATTGTACAATATAACTTAATGGATTGCCCGACTTCCTTTTGTCACTGTAGTGGTCTAACAATGTTGCAAACATTCCGTCCTCTCCAGGGGCAATGAACTTCCCTGGTGAGGCGATCAAGACTCACTCGGTATGAACCTCCACTCATCGTGCTGTTGCCCAGCATAAGTTAATAAATTACTTCTCTCTGCAGACTTGGCATCAAGGTCCCTGAGTCCTAACTGTAACCATGTCTTTCCTAGGCACGCAGGCCCACTTTGTTATAGCTCATTCTGAAAACTTTTGCAGAGGGGTTTGGATGGAGACATTGTCTCCTGTTTTTACCTCTGATTATGTATGTGCCAGAAACTGCTGAGGGATGTGTGTTGGTTCGGGCTATGACATATATGCATTTTGTCTGGGTTCGTTTTACCGTTTCCTGGCAGCCTTGAGGCGACAATACAATTGTAACAGCTTTGAGGGTATTCCTAGTGGGTGGTGAGAATACTATGGAGGTCAGAGTACTAGGGAGGTCAGAGTACTAGGGGGGAGGTCAGAGTACAAAGGAGAGAGGTTTAATATTACCTCCTTACCTCAATTCTCCCCTCCCATTTCACCTCAGGGTAGAGAACACCTTGTAAGGAGCCTGGTGGACGACTACCGCAGCAGGTCACCCTATGTAGCCTACCTGGTCCGTAGCAGGCAGGGACTACTGACCACTATTGCTCACCTGGAGAAGTAAGTGGAACCTTTTATAAGTGGAACCTTTAATTAGTGAAACCTCTATTTAATGGGGTGTTTGGAGAGAGGGTCCATTAGATGTGGAACCTTTACTTAATGAACTATATTGTCCATTATATCAAGTACCAGCAGTTTTCCCACACCACCACACTTTAAACATCTCATTTAACCAAGAAACGAAATTATCCTCCCACCCCTCCTCACACACCACATACCAACACACTCTAAAGCACATCCTCATTCCACACCCCACCATACCAACACACTCTAAAATACCTCATTCCACACCCCACCATACCAACACACTCTAAATAACCCTTCCTACCCCATACCAACATACTGTACTTTATAAGAAAAAACACCACCTTACCCCCCCAGGCTGTTGTCGAGAATTAACGCAGATGGGGCCGTGGTAATGTCGTCCATCGTTGGGGTGGCCAGAATGTTCCTCGAGCGTAGGGAACATAGTCTCAGCCGGTTCACCCACGACTTCACCGTACTGACTGTTCCCGATGAGAAAGTTCAGCTGATCGAGAACTTCTTGTCCCAACTGTACTCTGAGTTGGAACGAGACCCGATGTGGATTAGTGAGTTTTGTGTGTGTGGGTGGGAGGGTGTGTAGTGTATGTGTGTGTGTGTGTGTGTGTGTGTGTGTGTGTGTTAAGTTTTTAGTTATAATGAAGGGTCATAACTTTTGCCTGAAATCAGTTTAGGTTAGGTTAGTTTAGGATAGGTTAAGGTTTGAGACTATATATGGGTTAGGTTAATGTTAGATTAGGCTAAGGTTAGGTTAGGTTTAATACTGTACATAGATTCTTATTCACTTACCTTATTTATTACGATCGTTATGTATTACCTGATCATTATGTATTACACCCTCCCACAGGCAGCACCAACGAGCAGTTGCACGCAGCACAGTTGGCCCTGGAACGAGTGGTTATGTCACATATCTACATCCATGCCTTGTACCCCAACGGTGACGGAGATGTGTCCAGAGACCAGTGAGTAGTGTGTGTGTGTGTGTGTGTGTGCGTGGTGTGTGTGTGCGTGCATGCGGCAGCGTTTGTTTTACCCTCATGCTGTTGTACAGGATTCGAATTCAAACATGGATTTAAAATAAGTTCCTGATCATTTTATATTTACAGCTGTACAATATTAATAATGTTCCTTACTAGATTAAATTATAATGTAACAGCTGATGTACACACACCACAAACTACTTAACCTAACCATAACCTAACCTAACCATTACCCCAGAACACGATCCACAAATTGACTAACATCCAGAGGCAAATGGCGTAGAGAAACTCACCATAGTTTCACCCTGCCCGGGGAAATATAACCTGGGGTCCACTCACTTGCCAGGTGAACATGCTGACCATTACACACACACACAGGTCTACACCTCCCCACCCCCCAAAGTTTACGACAGCCCCAGTACCGAAGTGTTGACTAATCGTTAATTATTTTCCAGGGTTTTGCACGAGCATATGAAGAAACTGGCCGCGCATCACCCCAACTCACAAGGATCTACGGATTCCAAAGGTCAGTCGAGGAGCAACTACTTTATATGTGTGTGGGTAAACGATCAAGTGCCTCGGGTTTAGAGTGTGATATTCCTTGAGTTTTGTCTCACTCGAGTATAATGTAAGAGTCAGTATAAGTGCCTCAGGTTTAGAGTGTATTATTCCTCGAGTTTTATCTTGCTCGAGTGTTTTGTCTCACTCGAGTGTAATGTAAGAGTCAATTCAGAGGAAACTTTACTATTTGTGTGGGTAAGTGATTTTACCTCAAGTGACTCGGTTAAGTGACTTGTACAGGAGGTTCTCTGACTTACAATTGCCTGACGTACGAATGCTTGACCTACTAACGTCTGACTTACAGAACGCCCGACTTATGAACGAGGATAAACTTAAAATTTCCAGTATTTTATTTACCTGGTGATTTATATACCTGATGACTTATTGTATTTGTTCATAAATTAAATTATTTATATAAGGTCTTAGGCTATGATATAGTAGTGGTATTTTAAACATTGTTCTGTAAGTACAGTACATAACTTGTGTTCCCTGTACAAATAACAGGAACCTAACCTAACCTGGGGACTCTCACTACTATATCAAGCATTACATTACCTAACACTAACACTAACACTAACACTAAACTAACACTAACACTAACACTAACACTAAACTAACACTAACACTAACACTAACCATAAGCTAAAAGTAACCCTAAACTAATTACGTTTTCATCAACAGCTGTACCAGTATGAGTGTCCGTGGCCCAGTGCTCAGGCAGAGATAGTGTGCATCAGCGCCTACAAGACACCAGGTGACAAACTACAGTGTGTGGTCCGAGCCTCCCAGACCATAATGAACCTGTTGTCTCTAGCACACGATCAATCAGTCCCGGCAGCTGACGACTTTATGCCCGTTCTTGTTTACGTGCTCATTAAGGTTAGTGTTTGGTTTGGTTAGGTTAAATTGTCTCTCGTTCTTATATCAACAGTTTTATTTTATATGTCTACTGTACAGTGTGGGTCAAAAGGTCACCCTCCTAAGAAATGACCTCGTGTCGACCCCAAACGAGGTGAAACACTACGCTGGCTGTCGGGGTAAATCGAGTTCAGACGATCATTCCCCTAAATTTACCCCAGGGAGTAAACTTTTCTCCCCTACTCTACAATATTCCCTATTTTTTCCCCTATTTTGTTCCATATTTTGCCATATTTTTTTCCTATTTTCCCATATTTTCCCCCTTGACATAATGGGTGATAATCTCCGACTTGTTCCAACAGACCAATTAATTGTTATTCATTGTGTTCGTGTATTGTGTAGTGGGGATATTTTAATGGTGTCATGAGTAACCCTAGACATAATGGGTGATAATAATAGGTGATAATGGGTGATAATAATAGGTGATAATAGGTAATAATGGGTGATAATAACAGGTGATAATGGGTGATAATAATAGGTGATAATGTCCGACTTGTTCCACCAGGCCAATCCACCGGCTCTGCTGTCCACAGTCCAGTACGTCAACCTGTTCTTCGAGAAGCGGCTCAGTGGTGAAGACCAGTACTGGTGGACACAGTTCTGTGCAGCTATTGAGTTTATCAAGACTATGGATTATATGCTGTGATGACCCCGGTAAGCAAGGTTTGGAACAGTGTAATGGTGTGGTTTGGGAGGCTGTACGCATTGTTTGGAAGGCTGTAAGCATATATGGTTTGGGAGGGTGTACGTATGGTTTTGGACTATGTATGCAATGTACACTCGGGGGAACCAATCAGCTGTTAGGTATAGATGAGGGGGTGTGGCTTATAGCCCAGCTTAGCGTAGAAAGGGCATAATGGATGAAATAATTACAATGAAATATAATTTTTTGGACCTTATTAAAAAATTTCCCTTCAATTACTAACCATCTCTCACCTCCATTATACCATAACTCAGATCTTAAAAGTCAATAATAATAACAAATCTGGAGTCTTATACCAAGGGGACCACTGATTTCCATTTCATCTCACCTTAATATATACGGACCATCCCCGACTCATGACGCGTTCCTGGACCCATAGTTTAGGTTAGGTTAAAGCCCTTACAAAACAACAATAATATACTCATATATAACAATGTAAATAAAGTGATGTTAATTACAGTTATCTTTGCAGCGAATGTGTCAGGATCCTGTTCGTGAGTGCGGGCGATGGTAGGTCGGACGGTCGTAACTCGGGGACTGCCTGTAATGTAAATATTAAAATAAGACGTTTGATTTATCGACAACAACAACCATCTGTGATTTATTATTGTGGTTCCTTTAAAATTTATGGTGTGTACAGTGGAACCTATTATGTTAATGGTAGTACCTCAATCTAATGGTCTTAACTTATGTAAACAGTAGGTAAGACAACTTTCTGTGTTTACTTTATGGGAAACAATATAGAACTGTGGATGATAAATATTGGTACTATATGAAGGCTGTCACTAGTTACATGTAAAGACCGTGGATGATAAATATTGGTACTATATGAAGGCTGTCACTAGTTACATGTAAAGACCGTGGATGATAAATATTGGTACTATATGAAGGCTGTCACTAGTTACATGTAAAGACCGGATGATAAATATTATTGGTACTATATGAATAAGTTGCTGTCACTAGTTACATGTGGAAGACCGTGGATGATAAATATTGGTACTATGAAGGCTGTCAATTAGTTATGATGTAAATATCTGGCGGATGATAAATATTGGTACTTATGAAGAAGCTGTCATCAGTTACATGTAAAGACCGCGGATGATAACACAGTACTATATGAAGGCTGTCACTAGTTACATGTAAAGACCGATGATAAATATTGGTACTATATGAGGGCTGTCACTAGTTACATGTAAGACTGTGGATGATAAATATTGGTACTATATGAGGCTGTCACTAGTTACATGTAAAGACTGCGGGATGATAAATATTACACTATATGAGGGCTGTCACTAGTTACATGTAAAGACCGTGGGATGATAAATATTGGTACTATATGAAGGCTGTCACTAGTTACATGTAAAGACCGTGGATGATAAATATTGGTACTATATGAAGGCTGTCACTAGTTACATGTAAAGACCATGAATGATAAATATTGGTACTATATGAAGGCTGTCACTAGTTACATGTAAAGACCATGAATGATAAATATTGGTACTATATGAAGGCTGTCACTAGTTACATGTAAAGACCATGAATGATAAATATTGGTACTATATGAAGGCTGTCACTGGTTACATGTAAAGACTGTGGATATGATAAATATTGGTACTATATGAGGGCTGTCACTAGTTACATGTAAAGTGGATGATAAATATTGGTACTATATGAAGGCTGTCACTAGTTACATGTAAGACCGTGGATGATAAATATTGGTACTATATGAGGCTGTCACTAGTTACATGCCGTGGATGATACTATTGGTACTATATGAAGGCTGTCACTAGTTACATGTAAAGACCGTGGATGATAAATATTGGTACTATATGAGGGCTGTCACTAGTTACATGTAAAGACTGTGGATGATAAATATTGGTACTATATGAAGGCTGTACTAGTTACATGTAAAGACCATGAATGATAAATATTGGTACATATATGAGGCTGTCACTAGTTACATGTAAAGACTGTGGATGATAAATATTGGTACTATATGAAGGCTGTCACTAGTTACATGTAAAGACCATGAATGACATAAATATTGGTACTATATGAAGGCTGTCACTAGTTACATGTAAAGACTGTGGATGATAAATATTGGTACTATATGAGGGCTGTCACTAGTTACATGTAAAGACCGTGGATGATAAATATTGGTACTATATGAAGGCTGTCACTAGTTACATGTAAAGACCGTGGATGATAAATATTGGTACTATATGAGGGCTGTCACTAGTTACATGTAAAGACCATGGATGATAAATATTGGTACTATATGAAGGCTGTCACTAGTTACATGTAAAGACTGTGGATGATAAATATTGGTACTATATGAGGGCTGTCACTAGTTACATGTAAAGACCATGGATGATAAATATTGGTACTATATGAAGGCTGTCACTAGTTACATGTAAAGACCGTGGATGATAAATATTGGTACTATATGAAGGCTGTCACTAGTTACATGAAAGACTGTGGATGATAAATATTGGCTATATGAGGCTGTCACTAGTTACATGTAAAGACCGTGGATGATAAATATTGGTACTATATGAAGCTGTCACCTAGTTACATGTAAAAGACCATGGATGATAAATGGTACTATATGAAGGCTGTCACTAGTTACATGTAGACCATGGATGATGAAATGTGGTACTATATGGGGGCTGTCACTAGTTACATGTAAAGACTGGCGGATGATAAATATTGGTATATATGAGGCTGTCACCTAGTTACATGTAGACCGTGGATGATAAATATTGGTACTATATAGAGAACATCACTAGTTGTAGAACCGTGGATGATAAATATTGGTACTATATGAGGGCTGTCACTAGTTACATGTAAAGACCGTGGATGATAAATATTGGTACTATATGAAGGCTGTCACTAGTTACATGTAAAGACTGTGGATGATAAATATTGGTACTATATGAGGGCTGTCACTAGTTACATGTAAAGACCGTGGATGATAAATATTGGTACTATATGAAGGCTGTCACTAGTTACATGTAAAGACCGTGGATGATAAATATTGGTACTATATGAGGGGTCACTAGTTACATGTAAAGACTGTGGATGATAAATATTGGTACTATATGAAGGCTGTCACTAGTTACATGTAAAGACTGTGGATGATAAATATTGGTACTATATGAGGGCTGTCACTAGTTACATGTAAAGACTGTGGATGATAAATATTGGTACTATATGAAGGCTGTCACTAGTTACATGTAAAGACTGTGGATGATAAATATTGGTACTATATGAAGGCTGTCAGTAGTTACATGTAAAGACCGTGGATGATAAATATTGGTACTATATGAAGGCTGTCACTAGTTACATGTAAAGACCGTGGATGATAAATATTGGTACTATATGAGGGCTGTCACTAGTTACATGTAAAGACCGTGGATGATAAATATTGGTACTATATGAGGGCTGTCAGTAGTCACATGTAAAACATCTCATGAATGATAAATATTGGTAATTATATGAAGGCTGTCACTAGTTACATGTAAAGACCGTGGATGATAAATATTGGTACTATATGAAGGCTGTCACTTTACGTAAAGACATGAATGATAAATATTGGTAATCATGAAGGCTGTCACTAGTCGCACATAAAATTTTGGGGGAGCATATCGACCCCCGCCTGCACAGATAGTTGTTTTAGCTACTGTACGTTCTATTAGATAAAGGTTTCGCTGTATACAGTACTTTACTACTAATGTACTAATTATAATAATGTATACTGTATATAATGTATTCCTGATTAGTATTTTTGCTGCAGAATTAAATGCATGTGTACTTCATTTCAGAGAGAGGATTTTACATTAATTTGTTAGACTATTTACCTTAGTGAGATGATCTGTAGGCCTACTGACTGTGTATACATGTGTGTGTGTATGTGTCTGCCTATGTATGTGTGGATGTGTGTGCATGCGTAAAACATATCCGGCTGTGTTTAGTCTCCGAGAACAAGTGGGCGGGTGATGAGCGTAATTTCAATAATGTACTGGATAGAATTTTTTTTTTGTCCTAAGGTGGCTTTTAAATCTCAAAGTTTGCTTATTGAAAAATATATATATATACAGTATTGTCATTTATAGTACATATATACAGTACATATATATATAGTACTGTAGCTATACTGAATAGTGTAATGTAAAAGGATATCGCAGTGTTAAGGTCGCGTGATTGCACTCTCATGTTACTGACCATTGCCAGGTGATGAGCCCTATTTAAAGCCTTCTCCTCACCGCTCACAAGAATAATAATAAAGTCTTTCAAAAGCCACGTCGGTAGTAAATAATAATCTTGGCATCTCATCCCTGCAACAGAAGTAAGATACATGTATTATAATTATCAATATGTGTCTTCATGCATTGGAATAATCCTCTAATAAGGTATGAGTTAATTTGTTCTTTAATAATTTAAAGTTTATTTGACGATATAATTAAAATTAAATTAATATATGTTTTTTTGTTTTTTTTAACCTCTCCTCTTGATAATTGTTTAAATAATGTGGAGTTTTTTTTTAGTCATTTCAGATGTTACAATGGAAACTTTTATACAGGAACTAAAGATATTGAAGTTTAATCCAATGGTACAAATGTTCATGAGGTGACAAAGGTGTATGATGAGAGGGGTTGGAACAAAGGATGAGAGGGGTTGGAACAAGGGTGTAATGAGAGGGGTTGGAACAAAGGGGTGTAATGAGAGGGGTTGAAACAAAGGTGTATAATGAGGGGTTGGAACAAAGGTGTATAATGAGAGGGGTTGGAACAAAGGTGTATAATGAGAGGGGTTGGAACAAAGGTGTCAAAGTGGCTATAAGAGTGAGCAGAATAGAGTAGACAAGGAATTGTTTCAGATTTTTTGTTTGTTTTTCAGATTGAGTCGTTTTTAAAGCATTCTAGAAGTTTGTAGTGAGTGTATTATAAATATTAATACTGGCTGGCTGGCTGGTGTTTATAATCCCTTTATAGAGACCCTTGATGTTTACAGAGTCCATTGAGGAAGTAACACGGTCCAAATCATCAATATGTACTCCACGTACTCATAACTGTACTCTTCATTATGTAGATTGTGTAGCAGTTCCTCTCTCAAGGTAATTGCATCTTAGAGTACAGTAATGTGTAGGAAGTGGTGGAGTACATATTGATGATTTGGACTGTTACTTCCTCAATGGACTCTGTAAACATCAATGGTCTCTAACACAAACATCAAGGGCCTCTAACACAAACATCAAGGGTCTCTAACACAAACATCAAGGGCCTCTAACACAAACATCAAGGGCCTCTAACACAAACATCAAGGGTCTCTAACACAAACATCAAGGGCCTCTAACACAAACATCAAGGGTCTCTAACACAAACATCAAGGGCCTCTAACACAAACATCAAGGGCCTCTAACACAAACATCAAGGGTCTCTAACACAAACATCAAGGGTCTCTAACACAAACATCAAGGGTCTCTAACACAAACATCAAGGGTCCTCCTCCTTACCTGGAGTTGATTTCCATTACAACATAATTAGAGTCTAACTACCACACCTGTAAGACGTAATTAGGGTAACTACTCAATGATTATAAGCAAGGATCCTGTAAGACGTAATTGGGTTAACTACTCAATAAACAAGACACCCGGAAATGGAGTAAAATTTGTAAATAAAAGAAATATATTTGCTGAATTAGATCACCTGAAGATTACCGCCCCCCCCCCGCCCAAAGCGTATTAAACCTGGTGGTTAAACCTACTAACGTTACCTG